ATGAATGATGACGTCAATATAATTAGTGATTTGAAAAGTGGGTGGAGGGATTGAATTGCTTTACACACTGAGGAAGGCTTTGAGCCGAAACGTTTGTGTCTTTTCCCATCAGTAATGAATGTAAAATAAAAGAAAAAAGAAGATTGTTCTCGTGAGTGCGGATCATAATTTCCTATACTAAGGTGTATTTGTTACACACGTTACATGTAGTCAGTCCGTTGCCGAGTCCGTGGTTTCCCGCGGAATTGGGCTACTTTAACACTGTTGCCGCCGTGGGTTGAAGCGACTCCAATAACGTGATATTTAGCCCCTGGAATGCGACTTTTATCAGGGGTACCCCACCAAAAAAAAATTTATTTTACCCCCCGAACACAATTATGCAGGTTTTGCTTTAAAAATCTGGCAACCCTGCATGGACTTACTATTATAATAACAATTAATTATACATAATTACACGCAAGTAACCCTAAGCCAAATCCTAATCCTAACCATATAGTAAGTACATGTAGTTAATTAATATTACTCAGTACTTAAATGTACAATTACAATGTAAAAAAGACACCTTAAAATAAAGTGTAACCAAAAATAATATAAAAAAATTTAATTAAAAAATTATTTTACAATTTTATAAACAACATGCTGTCTTCATAATATCATGCCTTATATCTTTCCTAATACAGTATAAAAGCGTCTATACACAAGGCCCAATAAGTAGCTGCCTTTGTATTTTAGGAAGAGATTGCCTTGCAGAGGATCATAATATTTGGAGGCCTTGGCTTTAAAAGTTTGAAAACCCTTGCTTCACATAACTTTAGATCTATAGGCTCATAGTAGGACTGACCTGTGTGACGGTGTGAGGCAGCTGGGCCTTCTGGGCTCCAATAGCTGGGTGGGAGGGAAGGGTGATACGCGTGGCAGTGTCCCGGGGAGTGGGGGGACGCTGGATGTTGATGGTGGTTGGTGGAGGGTGAATGGTTACTGGTCGCCTAAAAATGCAAATTCAAAATTATTGGAATAACACCAAACAGTATTTTGACAGTATAATGATATGATCAGTTAAAAGAGCAAAGAGATACAATCATTTACCCATGAACCATCTCTGCAGCATGTGTGACAGGGGTGTTGATGACTGGGGACTGGGTTCTAGCAGCTGGGATGGGAGCCACCATAGTGGGCAGAACAGCAGTCGAGGTGGTTACTAAAGGTCGAGACTGTGAATATAGACACTGTGGGTAAACATAAAGAACTTTCAAGAACTAAAGAAAGATATTGCAGATCTATAAACCATAGTTTTTGAATATCCCTTTCACAACTGTGCAATCAGGCAGCAACAGCAAATCTACTAAACAACAGGGCCTGCTTATGCATGTTTTTATGGCTTGCAAATATATACATATGGTTTTCTCTGTTGTACTGAAAATTGTTGTTGCAAATTTCCTATGATTAAAGGGGTCATATGACGATGCTAAAAATAACATTATTTGGTGTAATGCAATGTGTTTACGCAGTTTAAGGTTCAAAAACCACATTTTCCACATACCATACATTATTGCTGCTCATCTCTGCCGTGCCTTTCTGAAACACTTAAATTTTTACAAAGCTCATCGTTCTGAAAAGCAAGGTGTGCTCTGATTGGCCAGCTATCCAGTGCATTGTAATTGGCCAAATACCTCTAGTGTGTGACGGAAATGTTACGCCCCTTACCATATTTGGAAACACACAGCGTCTCCACGACATGACAGCGGCAACAATACTACAGCGAGAATAAAAGTTACGCCTTCTTTCTTTGCGTAAACATTTGGCCGGTGTTATGCAAATTTTCCCACACAGTGACGTAGACATGTGTGAGCGTGTTTGAATGAGGCGTTTTAGGAAGGCGTGGATGAGTCTTAACTTTTATTAAGAATATCTCTTTGGGTTTGAGACTTTAGTCTATGAAACTTTACGGATCTTATATATACACGAACAGCTTGTAATACTCCAAAGACAAATTAACACTTAAAATCACATCATATGACCCCTTTAACATACGTAACTGCATACGTAAATGAATAAAATCACAAAATTCCATATGCCTTTTTTTAATAATGAACATACAATTTCTGCCCCATAAAATGTTCAAGAGCTTGCTATAACTACAAATATGTGAGTAAAAATATATACTTTTTTTATCCTTATCCAATAAATCATGAACAACTGGAAAAGTTATAGTGGCCTATGAATATTGTGGACATGGGGGGGCCTTGAGGTCAAAAAGGTCAAGGCTCAAAACATGACATTTACTTTAAGTGCTGTTTAGATCCGAGCAGACTGTTGTGTCTAGTTGTATGTGATCAGTAAGTTGCGAAGCCTCTGCACCTGAATAGGCTGATGTATAATGTGCTGCACAGCTGCAGGTTGGCTAGGGCCTGCGTTTCCTCCTCCGGCTGGTCTGAGAACAGTAGGGCCTTTAGTGCTAGACATGACAGCTGCAGCAGCTGCACCTGAAACACCAAACACAAGCACAAATATTACACTATTACAGTAGGTTACAGTTCATGTCAAACAAACACAAACACACCAGAAAATTCACCTTCATCACATAAAGGTGACTTGTGTCATTTATAGCATCAAACAAGTGCAAAAATAGCATTTGGAATCTATTTTAGCACGAAGCTACTTGTGACATTATTATACAATTCAACACAGGGATGTAAATTAACACCTAATTTCATTGAGGTTTAAAAGGAAATTTTGTAATAGACAAGCTAACTACTGTAAAAGTAACAAATCCAGTGTGTAAATACACAATGTTATTCCAAAAGCCAAATTCAGTGCTAAATACAGTTGAAAAACAGGTCATATACTTGTTTGCCGTGCATTTTGATAACGTCAATTTTCATTTTACAATTATGATCTTTACATTGTAATATGTTCCATGTGACTTCACTCTCTCTTTCTCTCTTGGTGAGTGAATTGAATATGTTTTATATTTAGTAACTGTATTGCTTAAAATAAAAATACATTTATTTTATGATTTGAGCATAAAAATATTAATAATGTGTAAATAAAATGTAAACAAAAAAAAACATTTTTTGTTGATCCTGGGTCAGCAGTATTGTCCAAAAACATAGAACTAACCCTATCCCTACCCCTAAACCTAACCCTACCCATAATTTATCCCTAAAATCAGAGGGAAATGATAGTTGAATAACAAGGGTGTAGAAGAACCTAACTCTGGTTGTAAGGCTAAAATTGACATTTCCTGTAAACTTATCCCTCAGTTCTCATTGGTTGATTGGAATGTTGTTCCAGGATCAACAAGGATGTTGATCCAGGAACACGTTGCACTTGATGAAATCATGTTCACCATGCTGGATTCTAGATCTTGAAAAACTGTAAAAATGAGCAAGTGACATTTTAAATAACAAAAAACAAAAGACATTCTTTCATAAAATTCTGTCATAATTTACTCACCTTCGTGTATGACTTACTTTCTCCTGCAGAATACAAAAGATATGTTGACCGCTGGTAACCGAACAGTTTTGGTGACCATGACTTCCATTTTTTTATATATATATATATATATATATATATATATATATAACATTTTCCCCTTTTTCTAAACCCACTAAACCCA